CGTCGCCGTCGGCGGCACCTACATCTTCACCAACTTCGCCGTCTCGCACACGCACAAGGACGTGGTGCCGCACGACAAGCATATCTCGTGGACGCTCTACTCCGCCAACCACACGACCAACCAGTCGAACACGCCGCTCGTCAACTGGTGGATGGCCTACCTCAACTTCCAGATCGAGCACCACCTCTTCCCCTCGATGCCGCAGTACAACCACCCCAAGATTTGCGGCCGCGTCAAGCAGCTCTTCGAGAAGCACGGGGTCGAGTATGACGTGCGCACCTACGCTAAGTCGATGCGCGACACCTACGTCAACTTGCTCGCCGTCGGGAACGCGTCGCACAGCCTCCACCAGCGCAACGAGGGCCTCACCACGAGGGAGAGTGCGGCCGTGCGCGTGACGGGCCACTGAGCGCCGCCCTCACGGCCGCCCGCTCCAGCGGACCGCCCTCCGGTCACGCGGCGCGCGCGCGCCTGGGAGGAGTAATAATGCACACACGCCAGTCGGTGCGATGTAGTAGGAGTTATGGAAGACGTTTCACAGTCAAAAAAAATGGTTGCCGCCGTGTCACGTGACGCGACTGGAGACGCGACCCGCCCCCGCGCCGCCGCGGGCGCGGCGCGGGTGGTGCCCCCACAACGCGCCGTATCTCTGTGTGTGTATATCTCTCACTTTTTATGGTTATGTGTGCGGCGACCGTGGCCCCCCTGAGCCCTGTGCCACGCCAGCGGCCCGCCTGCCTCTCTCGCCAAAGTAAGCGCACACCCCAAACTCTCGCACATGCTCTCTCTCGCGCTGTGCCGCTGTGTGTGACCTGTGTCGTGTGTGTGGAGAGTGTTGTCAAGTGTTGTGTGCGGTCGGGCTCTCTAGGGGTCTCGCGTCTCTCTCCCACGCACCACGCTCTCGGTCTGGGCGGCGAGTGGTGATCTAGAGAGTGGTGTCGGCGCACGGCGCTCGCATGTCGCAACCTGTTCAGTTGTTGCACACTTGAGCGCGCAGATTGTGGTGTGTTGCAACTTGTATTTTTCGAGACCCCATGCGTGTGGGTCCTCTTGTGGGTCCCGTAGTAGTACTCCGTACTCCAGGGGTTCACGCCCTCACGCTCGGCGTAGCACGCACACGTACAAGGCTAGCCCCACCCGCGCACAGCTGCGGTGGTCCCAAGCCGCGGCCCCTGGTTGCTGGTACGAGCGCCTCACTGGTTGTACACCTCTTGCGGCCACAAGTCACCGTAGTTTGGCACCTTGGACATCGAGTCGGCAATTATCGAGGGGTCCTCGAGCGAGGAGGTGTACCGCCCCATCATCCAGTTCGTGAAGGAGGCGAGCGAGATGGTGCCCGCGCCGTCCTCGAGCTCGCGCAGCACAGCCTACCAGGCGAGCACCCGATTCGAGAGGAGTGGATGCGCGCCCTCGAGCCCGTGCGCAGCGCCGCCTCGACGCGCGGCTCGTCGAGCGGCGCGGAGCACATCGAGCGGAGCGCCTGATTGATTGGTCGATTAATTAATTAATTAATACTCAAAGCGGAGCGCCTGCAGCCGAGGGCGCGAGGAGGCTCACGGGAGGCCTAATCTACCCCTCCCACCCCTAACACCCACCCCTAACACCCACCCCTAACCCCCACACCTAACCCCCACACCTACCCTCCCTCGCCTGCTGCAGCTCGTGCCGCGACACGACGCCGGAGTGGTTCGGGTTGAGAGC